TGATAATACACTCAGTAGATTCGTCCATCATTCTAGAGCGTGATTACGATGAGTGAGATAAGATTTTGCTATTTCACGTAGCTTATTACATAGGCATCATGCTTTTTCGCTTCGACTGCATATGTTGAGCGCACCCGACACGGCACAGCCTCGACTCATCACGGCACGACAGCTCTATATGCCGGCGGCCGGCCGCGCCGATCCGAGCGCGGCCACAATTTCAAATGTACATATTGCTGGCGCGCGCGATCAGTCATGCTCGACGGTCTCATGGCGAGTCGTTGCATCGTAGCCTGATCGGCAAGGTGGCCCGCGGAACTGTAAGGAATCAAGTTCATGTAACTGAGGCCTTGGAAGATCAGAGAACCTTGCGTTCTCCTATCTAGGTCAACCAACGTGAGTCTCTATCGTTGGACAGCGGTTCCTACGATTGCAAGCACGGTTTAGAATTCCCCTTGCTGCATGTGCATAGACGGCCAGGAACTTGAACATACATGCGACCCGATATTAATTGATGCAGCAAGGGCAGGCCACCTTTAGCGCTTTAAAGGGCGAATCAGTGTGGGGCGCCTAGATTTATCAAGTTCTTGTCGACACTGGAAAGCGGCAACCGCATGTTACTACCACTTTCCGCAAAGAGCTAGCCATTTCATACCAACTAATGAGCATCTCTTGGGTCCTAGCTGACTGCGACGCGCCCGCTGACTACGGCCGTGAGAAGCCGGTGCAAGTTGGGCAGCGTTTGACGGGGACCCACCGCCGGCAGCTGCAGTGCGCTCAGCAGCTGTTCAATGTCCTGCACACCACCACCGCATCTTGGTCACCTCACCACAAACTAGAGTTGGGACGACCTGCTTTGTGAGGGCAAGAGAGTGGGGATTCCATTGGAAGCTTACTCTAGAAGCGAGTAACCGCCTCCCCAGGATCGTTATTCTAAAGCTGTACAAACACTATCCGACAGCAAAATGGCCCTCTGCATGCTGATCTGCACCGAACCGCCTACCAGCCGCACACGGGGCAAAGCACCAGAATTTCGTCAATCGAAGCTTTAGTACTTGTTGCTAGCCCCCTCTGATCCAAAGGTCACAACCAACCATAGACGTCCAACCAATCTTGGTGGCCGAGACAATGACTTCAGCACACACTGAATCAAACATGCCTGGAAGCAGAAAGCTGAAATACACCCAACTCGAAACCAACCAGCCGGAGACAAGGAGGTAAGCTGTCCAGCCGCGTCCTCACCTTGTTCAGCAGAAACACCGCATACGAGAACTTGGTCTCATCCGCGCCCTCCGCAAACAGCGGAAACTCCACCGCACGCTCCCCGGGGGGCGGTCCCGGCCCGGAACCCCGGCTCGGCCCCCCGTTCTTCACCCCCCCGCCAACCGCCCCCCGTTTCGTCTGAATCCCCGCGGCGTCGAGCACGTACGATCGCGACGCGCCGAATCGCAACGGGTACCGCAGCGCAACGCCCAAGATGCGCGCGAGCATTTCGAGCAGGTGCGCCACCCCCCCTAGCGCGGCCGCGACCCGCTCGTACGCCTGTTTGTCGGACAACACCTGCCCGGGGGGGCCTTTGGAGAGCAGCCCCAGGCTGGCCAGCGCGGCGGCCCCCGCATCCCCGACCCCCCCGGAAAAGCGCGGCGAGCCGCACAGGAGCGCCTCGGCGGCGCAGGGGTCCAGACACAGGCACGGGCCGAGGGGCCCGATGGGAGGGGGCGCGGGCGGGGAGCGCCCGCCGGGGCGTGCCGAGTTGTCCATGTTAAGCAGGTTGCTCCCCGCAATGAACGCCTCGAGAACGTCGGAGGGAGGGGGCGAGCCGGGCCGAGAGCCGGTTCGCACGGAGGGG